CGCGACAAGGAATGGTTTGGGAGTACCGAAGGCATGTGAAATAATGAATAATGCGAACGAGCCGGATCTCATCAAACGAGTGAATAACGTTCAACGATTCTATAATGGATTCTTTTATGATGTGAACACATACAAAAATCCGAATAATTATACCGCATATATGGAACAAATGAAAGATGTCACTTATGATCCACCAGATTACGAGAGAGGTAATCAATTACAACGACCGTTTAACTATTCAGCTTAATAATAATTCGATCGGAAATTTGAATGATCATACGATGGAATCTGAAAGAAACAAACTGATCTGATGAATATTATGACGAATGCGATGACAAAAATCTGATCGTATACGATAGCGATAATGACGTTAACGTTTAGAATATTTTGCCTTTCAGCGGCTGCTCGCGGTTGGACGTGGCAAACGTGCACTGAATTGGGATACTTCCAAACAACTGACGGAGGAAAGAGCATGTTTGGGTCGGCGATTCCGATGGAGTGAGTCGAAATCATTGTTTGTCAAATAATTGATGATAATAGTTGTAACAATAATAGTGGTAGTAATAATACCAATAATAATAGCAATAATAATAATAATGATAATAATATTTTTATTTATAAGAAGGGTAATAATATCAATATCATTGTTAATATTTTTATGATAATTATTTTGATGAATTCTAATAGCAAAAAAGGATAAAATCAAAACTGTGATTTAGTTTCTATGTAAACCAATGCAAGGAAATGTTCGGTGAGAAGTACGACGCCGACTTTACACGTGCTGGTACGGCGAGAACGAGACTGGAACACGGGGGGCCTGATAAATATAAGGTTTTTGATGTGATTGTTTTCGATTGAAGGTTGTGCTGACAAGGATGCATTCTTCATTTCAAATGACTCTTGTGTAAATCTCATCTTTTACGAAGAGAACCAATGCTCTATGTTGGTGAATAGCATAAAGATGCCCACTGAAACGTGACTATAAGATCATGAGATATGGTATTTGAGGGAACGAATACGGTATTCCCGAATGGATCGTATGATCCATGGCGATCGTTAGGTTATGCGAAGAATCAGACTGGCGATGTTTGGGCATTCCAAATTAAAGGTACGTTTATTTCCGACATTTTTTGTCGTTTTTTATGCGATAATAGGGCGATTCATCAACAATAATGTTAATAGCAGCAAATAATAATATCCATCATTAAAATTTTATAATGATATTATGCATAATAGTTACGACAACAATGATAATAATAACTTTAAAAAAGTTAACACAGCAATGTGATTGTAACAATGATATCTTAATTTCAAATTCAGGTACTGCGCACTGTGCAGATATGTATCCCTCAAGTCCGCACGATAAACAGTCGTTAATTGATGCGAGATTGTTCATTGGCGAACAAGTTGATAAATACATTGCTGAGTGTGAGTTTTACATTTATTATGCATATATTAATCGTAAATGAATTTGGTGATCACTTTTATCTTTATTATATTTTGATCAATTGAAATGTTCGTGATTATCGGTTAGTTCTCTCGATTATGATCATCACAATAATATATAATATTATCACTATGTTCATTATACTTTCAGCTTTAGCAACGTCGTCTGCACCTCCACTGACGTCGTTCATCAGCTACATTCAAATTTTTGCATTCATGGTACTCAACGCTCATTATTAAACTGTGCGATCGCTATTGATGTTGTTGGAATATTATACCTTTTATTATAAACGTTCCAATGTTATAACTGTAAGATTGTCGACACTGAACTATTGTAATTATAATTATAATCATTTGCGCAAATAAAGATCAATAAATAATCCCATTCAAAGTAACATAATGCAATATGATCATCACAATCATTCATACATGCCCCTCCTCATTATCAGGACGTTTATTTTATCGAAGAAGAGCAGGAGGAAAATCGAGAGTAATAGGAATTACTCATAACCTTCCAAATAGGTGGGAACCATTTGAAGGTTGGAAGGTCTAGAGGATACTCCTCACATGCCCCTCTTTGGGTACGGATAGAGGCTGATGCAAGAGTTTTCTTGTTCCAGGATTTGCAATTGCATTCAACAAAATAAATTAACCACTCAATATTACACTGTCCATTCGCAGTAACTTTTAGAAATCCCTATAGCTCGATTTTTCAATCTTGCTTCTGAGATTTCTGTTCTGAAAATTCCGAAAATTCAGGATTCCGTAAGAACCGACATCTCGTTAATGTTGGTAATATACTCATTTCNAATTTCGCATCAGCGACTTGCGATTCATTTATATTCACTACATCCAAGCAGTAATAAATGGATGAATCATTAAATAACATTGCCTTAATTTTCATCGTTCAGAAAGCAGTGAATTGCATTGTACAATGTTTATCATCGTTTCAGAACTTCGTTATCAGTTTTGTAGAATAAAAAAATTGCACCAAACTTAATACTGATAATGATTTTATTGTGAACTAAGAGAATACAATCGTCTCATATTTTGAGACTGACAAGTGGAGGACTATCATTGGTTTTCTGTTTTAAAGTGGTTGGAAATATTAAATGTTTGATCTTAGTCAACAAAAATTATCAAAAAGAAGTTTTTATTCCGATAAGAAGATGACACTGTTCTGATACACTTCATCTATTGACGTACATTAGGCAGCTGATAAAACTGATCATTAAGACTAATAACAATTGCATTCATTACATGCTTTCATCAGAACACCAGCGCATACGCTTCTTCGTAACCATTATTCCATCCAATTCCCAGCAAATCCCTACAATTGACTGATTTCTTCGATTCTTTGATCGATGGAATAGATCATTTCATTAATCCATTTCTCCGTGTATTTTGAATTCTGTTCGGTTTCTAATTGCACACTATGTTGTATTTCTCAATGAGACCTTTCGCACAGCTCAAGGATGAATTTGAAGCAGATTCCATATCAACCAACTTAATAACAACATCGGAACACTAATGATATCAATGAATTATCTGCAAATTATTAAGCTGATAACTTGGAAATGAATTTTATAAAACGTTTAAATTTCAGTGATAAAACAAAGTGAAATGAGGTGCTGCAGTCAGTTGTTTTTATTGGTGACTGTGTTCGTCAGCATCGAGTCGATAATCTGTTTACCAAGACATTTACCGAGGGTTATTTTTGGTAGACCGTTGGGCGGGTTTATGAATAATCCATTCAGAAGGCGTACAGACAACAAAACGAGACTCGCTGTCGAGGATGTCCAAATGGGAACTTTGCCTCAAATTCTCGACCATTTCAATTCGAGTGACAAAAGAACATGGCAACAAGTAAAACATGTTGAAATTTTCAGTAATGTGGCTGAGTGTCGATCCATACTTTACTGTAGTTTCATTTCTCTTGCATCTTTATACCACATAAATGCTTGAAAGTATCAGGCCAGTAATCCCCAAGCTTTCGAGAAATGTCAATTGTCTTTTGTCCAACGCAATTCCAGAGGCTAGCTTAAAGGAATGCTCCCCTCTTATATGCAAATCTCAAATGCTACTGCATCTGATTCAGTGATATTGCACGTAGCACTTCAACGAAATCCTCCTTCATATCTCTCCCGAGCAGCATTATATCAGATTTTATGCCCACTTGATCGCAAAATTTTGCACAAAAATGTAAAAAGTCAGTCAGTTTCTCTTAACGCGATACCCCTGATACATGTTAGAGATGTGACTATATTGCGATATCAATATTTCCAGCATTATCAATACAATCCAAAGTTTTACAATGGAAGTGGACTGATATTTTTGTTNTTGTTGGTTGGCGGTGCATCGAAGATCGATGTGGAATGGATTGCTGATTACAGCCGTCCGTATATGCTTTGGGCCAAGAAACATGGAGCTGCCGTATTCCAAGTTGAACATCGCTTCTATGGAGAGAGTCATCCACTACCGTAATTTTTATTGCATACGCTTGGCAGTTAGGTATACGGTAACCATCGAGCGTTTAGGGTGGTACGGTGATATGTTTAGAACTGATTGTATTCGCTCTCGCTACTAACTGAAGGGAGTGATAATGATCATGAAAGAGAGGGAAAGAGAATTGCGAGGAACATAATGAACGAGTTTGATCGCACTCGATGCTAATTTGATTACTGTACAATGGATAGTAATTGTATTATTTCATAACCTTTCGTAAATGTCATTGAAAAAACAGAAAAGAAATCAAAATGAAAACGATGAACTACAAAATTTTGTGAGAACGAACGGTATCAATTGGAAATGGCCAAATTTGATCGTACTTTTGATCGGAAAGCCAACTGATCGGAAATCCAAAGAAAATATTTTTTTATTTTGAAAATCAAAAGAAAACGTCTGGAAATCAAACGAATTCGCTCGCATTCGAAAAGCGAGCAAATGGATGAGTAGATAAATGAAGTGATAAGTTCACATAAATGAATCACAATTTCAGTAATGCGATATTTGATGACTATGATAATCCTAATACCCTCACAGTCGATCAAGCACTCGCCGATATACGCTTTTTCATTAAGACCATGAATAGGATGTATTTCCCGAGCATTACAAAACCAAGATGGTTGCTCTTTGGCGGATCATATGCAGGTTTGTTGATTCGTTATCATCATTATTTTCGTTATCTGTTATTATCACTAACACAGTATTAATTATTATTATCATTATTATTGATTGGTCTAAGATAAAACGATCAAATGCATTCAGGAGTGTTAGCAGCGTGGTTCAGAGAGAAGAATCCAGACATAACAATTGGAGCGATTTCATCATCAAGCCCTGTTGATACCATCATGGATTTCTGGCGTTTGTTTCGATTGATTTTGGGTTTTTGAATAGCAGAATAGAAAAATAATGATAGTATAATTATTGAATAACGAATTTAAATCATTAATTATCCGAGAGTAGTTCAGTATTATTAACGATGCTGTCAGTGAGCATATCATCATTATCATCATCACTATTTTAGGAGGACTGATTATTATCAGTAATATTTTATTATAGTTTTTAAAAATATTATCATTGTTGTCATAATTTACATCAGCATCATTACAATCCTTCCCACTATCATTCGTGAATTTAGGTTATAATAAGTATGTGGGAGATGCATATTTAGTTGCAAATACATCGTGTTATTCGAATATACGTTCAGCATTTTATGAAATCCATGAAAAAGTATTCACAATCAAAGGAAGAGAAGAACTGGTTGAAAAACTTGAGTGAGTTCTTTGATTTGTTCGCATATATTCATAGAATATTATGTTTTGGAATATAATTTCTGTTCGTATCCAGTACATAATAGCAACAGTA